GGTGGTACTTCCGGGTTCACACCCTGTGTTGCGGTAAATGAATCTTGTGTCGTCTTGTGTTGCTTTCGATACTTCTTGTGTTGTTTTGGTTTCTTGCTCTGTTTTGTAAGCCTCACTGACGTCGAATGGTTGCGTAAAGTCGCCGTGGGAGATGCATTGGCCCGCACAATTCATCGCTGCCTGCACTGAATGGAGCATGCATACGCCATCTGCAAATTCTTGATCCATATTCGCCATCGCCAGCATATCCCAGCGCCTAGGTAAAGTTGATACTGGCAGACACTCAAATTGATGAACATTGGCAGCGATATACATGAAATGTTGACATGGTAGATTGTCGCTGTAGTAGAACAGACACGAACATGACCACTGAAAGTCGTTGCATTTATGTGGACGCTCCCCCGCTCGCACTTCCCACTCACCTACACCAGAACAACGCTTAAAACATGCTGTCACAGCACTGAATACCATTAAGTAGTCCAATTACGTGCGTACGCTTGCCATCATTGTGTCGCTCAGGTGCTTTTACAGTACAGGGAGAAATCCGGGAGCGCCATCGGGCTGTCGCGACCTTGACGTATGCTTGTGCATGGCGGTAATGAGATGTCTTGTTATGGTAGCCTGGTGAGAGAGTTGTCCACTCACTGTTGCGTCAAGTCGGGGGCGCTTTCCCAGCAGAAGTTTGAGCTGGTTCGAGTTTGACTCATTCCTCTTCGTCGTCGTGCTACCGGCCGTGAATAATTTGCCCCTGACGTGGTCAGCCCACATTCCAACACAAGATTCCCAATTCATCTCGAAATATTTCTGCAGCGCTGGACATTCTAGCAAATTTGTCTGAGCGTAGATACTTCTGAGTCGAACGTCGTTTGGGTTTTGCTGTTTTCAGCAACACAACCGGCAACATACCGTTAGCAACACAACAAACAACACAACAAACAACACAGCACAACCACGCAACAGTATATGAGTTTCGTGAATGCCGATTCCAACGTTTTCCTATCTGTCACCTTCAAATTGTACGCTTTCCGCTTACAAACCTTGCGCCAGTACGCTAGCGCATGAAACTGACAAAGTAGAACATCAGCGCCAGAAAATGCCTTCTTCAGCACTCGCCACTTAACGAAGTCCTTGTCGATGACGACGGTCTGGGTTGATTGCCAGTACGTATTCTTTCGTTTAAAAAACTTATTAATGAGTTCCATTGTGACAGCGTTTTGGTCGAGGGCTAGAAAATCAATTACATGCATTCCGCTGCATGTAGCAGTTGTAACAACAAGACTCCCTGTAGCACAGGCACAAGTTTGATATCAGACCCCATTTCAATAAAAATATAATTATCGACGTTACCCAGATGATATTCCAAATTATTGGTCCCATGTGTCCAGTCCATGACTAGCGTGTCGCCCCACTGGGCAAAATACTTTTTCTGAATGTACGTTTGCATCGCCATCACACAAGTGATATCCATTTGGTCATAGGACGTCCTTACCGGCATTCCCGTCAGCAAAATAATCGAGAATAGTTTTGGTGCGGTCGAGGGTTGGCGTGCCCAATACTTGACGGAGAAGTTTTCTCGTTTGTTGTGGTGTTAAAACCATATCTGGATATCATCAACGAAAAAAAAAGGAGAGTGATTATAAAATGAGTTAGCAAAACTGAATTAAAAAAAAGATACTGCTACAGCCAAATTCACCAGCGGCACTCACCAAGCTGATTCGAAAGATATCGGTTGATATCAGAAGTGCTCGTTTTCATTTCGGTCAGAAGCCCAAGCTTCCTGCGCACCTGGGGTGGGACCGACAACGACTTGGCCCCGCGATAGGAATCGTAGATATTCTTGCTTGTCTTGTGATTGTGGGTGGAGATCTAAGCAAACAAAAGTAGTTAAGAAACCATAAGGACATGTAACATAATATTCATACCCCCGAGTCCGGATCCACAGTCACCTTCCATTTAGCAGCTCCTTTTGTCGACTACGTTGACGGTTCGCACCAAGAAACTTGCCATGCATCCCCTGTATCGCAAGCCACAATCACGCCGTCCATCAACACGAGCCGACTGTGTTGCGCCATGATTCCACCCCATTCGGTTAAAACTGTGGGAAAACCGCTCGGGAATGATCTTTGCCCTAGGGCGACTTGATTAAGCAACATAACAAGCAACACACACAAATTACACAGCAGACAACATAACAAAAATCAACAATGTCAGCAACAGCGCACGCTGTTCATGTGCCAACAGAATACGGACCTGTTGTACTTGGCACGGGTTTCAGAGCTTCGAACGCGATAGTGCAGATAATTTTCAACCTCGTAAGAGCGAAGGGCCTCTTGAAAAGTCTCTCAACTGTCAAACGTCCTCACTGGAAGTGGTGGCTTTCGATTTCCGACTGCCTGATGTGACTTCATCATCTTTTCACGACTGTCGTACGTTTTTGTCCGGCGTCGCACAATTTGCTCTTCGCCGACGCCGTGAAATGAGCCCCAGTTGTTCCCAGGCTCTTTGTGCCGGGTTTTGGTCGCTTTGGTGAGGGATCTTCGCTTTCGTTCGTCTCAAAGGCACTGTTGCTGGATTTGCGGCTGTTCGGCACGAACGGCTGCTTCCGTTTGCGACTTTCTTCGATGGCATTGGTCCGGGCGGCATCAACAAATGCGCGTGCATAGTCTTTAGTTTTGTAACCATTGAAAGCAGCATTCAAAGCAGCATTCAAAGCAACATAGTAAGCAACAAAAGTAATGTATCAGCAACAAAAGAAAATCGACCGGGATATATACCTGTATCGGCCAACGCGTTGTTATCACCCGGCTCCGCGGCGGTGGCTTTGGTGTCTGCAGCCACGGTCTTGTCGCGCGCAGCGTCATCCTTCTCGCCCGCTGCAACACTGGCAGCGTCGTCGTTCTCACCGGCCGCCACATCTTTCTCACCCGTAGCCACGTCCTTTTCGCCCGCCGCAACGCACTTCTCCCCGGAACCGGAAAGCGCTATCCTTCTCGCCCGCCGCAACGCCCGTATCCTTCCCACCCGGTAACGTATCGAACTTGCGCGCATCATCGCAGGTTTCGTTCTCCAGGCCCTCCATCTCTGCATCCTCATTTGCGATATCCTCACCCGTGACCAGAGGGGCATCGACGTAGTCTTCGTCGCTACTGGAATCGTGTATAAATCCGCGTCCAGCAAGTAGGTAGTCGACATGCAGTCTTGCCCGTAGACAGCGCCCTATACATGATAGAACACAACGTTGTAGATTAGGACAACGTGCTGCAGACTGCCTGTCACGATGCCCCCCCCCGTATCTTACCTGTGTTCTGCGCTTCTCGGCGCGCTTGCTGCTCCGGCATCTTGCTTTTCCCCCCTTCTTGGAAATGAGTCTGTACAACTCGTACTTATTGAATCTCGTACTTAATAGACACTGTAAAATTTACATTTACGCTTTTGAGATTTTCAGCGTAATAAAACTTGCAATAACTTACACAAAACGCCATTGTGTTGTTCTAAAAGAGAAATCGTCATGTTGTAGTAATGTTGCGGTACCGACTCCACCTTCGGGATGTAGGAGCGCTCCGGTCGACTGACCACAGCCGGTCCACAATGTGTGAAGAACCCTTGCGTCTCGTGTCCAGCAAGGATTCACGAGTCTTCTAAATCAAGAATAACTAATAGCTGCTCCAGCTGCATACCTTCCGGCCGGCTCGAGTCCCTGGACACCCACCGGTCGAGTATAGGCTTCTGCACACAATTAAAATCCCCACCTATCAGGATATCTGTGGATGGCCATCATCACCATGTGGGTTGCTCAACGAAAACTTCTCGATCACGTCTAGTGTTTGGCGCATAAATGTTTACGATGAACATCTTATCGAACATGACGCTAATGATCCTGCTTGTCCAGTGCTCCATGCTCATTCCTGCAACTAAAAACATACCAAATGTAGAAGTAGTTCTTTATTCAAATTGCGCGATCGACTGACAGCACCGTTGACGTACCTACCATCACAGCCTCTCATCTTAATAGCACCTTCCACGGCTTCAGCTACACATGACAATTATACCATGTAATTTATAAAAATTAAGCGAATTTAGTCATCGCATTTCCGATATCCCTGTGGCTCGGCGCTTTAGATTTCGCTATAAGACAGGCATCATCTAACAACTTCCCTACCCATGTCTCGCGCTAAGATATATTGGGCTCTCCTCGCCCGAGACCTACGAAAGCGACATACTCCTTGAATCGCTCACAGACTTCGTTGTGAAGAAGAGCGAGCTATTGTCGTGCTCGTTTTTGTACCGAGTCCACCCCACACAACATCTGGACAAGACTTCTTCGCTGCAAGTGCGAGTCCGTGGCTCAGCTGCCCCTAGATCGGGAGAGCCCAAACGTGCATCCTATCCAATGTGGTCGGCATCTCGGAGATGTGTCACTATTTCACCCACCTCGCCGACCTCGCTTTACGGAGGAAATGAAGTCCTTTGTGCGTGACATGTGTACCTACAGCCATAAGTTCATATATGTCTACAGCGGAACAGTCAGGTGCTTCCAAGTTCGTGATGGCGCAATGCCACTGCTTGCAGCTGTGTATCGTTTCGTGCAGCACTACCATCGTGCCCATCTCGGTGGTCGGCACCGCAAAGGTCTGCGAGCATGATTTAGGTCAGGAGGAATAGTCTAAGCCCTTTACCTTCACTTGGCGTTTTAATGTAAGCGCGGAGGGGGGGGGGGTCCTGCTGCTGGAAGGATGTTAGACTCCGACGTGAGCGTAGCATCTAAAGAGCTAATGCCACGGCTCGATCGCGATCCAGCTACTATTGTCTTGCACATTAACACCGCATATAAACTCAGCCAGGTTGAAACCCCACTTACGGTAGTGGGGATTTCCGACTGTATGAGCACCTCCCATTAGCTGCGTTTATTACAGTATCATAACAAACGGAGCGTTATTTCACGGAGGTGAAGAAGGATCTACACTGCGGTGACAAACAAGCGTTTTCCGGTCCGGTACATCATGGCCGACGCCGACAAAGCACGGCGGGATGCGGTGGATGCGGTACGAGGTGTTGCAAACGAGTTGGTCAATCCAATGTGCTCCTTTCACGTAGCTGCAAAGGTCTATAAGCACACGCGAAAAGCCCTCTTTCTCTTGCTGTTTGTGTCTCTCACGGATGCTAATATGCACTACGCTAGGTCTGCTTCTAAGGGAGCAGACCTAAACCAGCTGCCTCAAATACTGGAAGAAGATGCCGAATATTTTCTAGCTATTTCACCTCCGTTTGGGTTATTTCTCCGTTCAGCCGCTGGCAAGCCTATCACACACCACTCAGGTACGCAGGAACCACCTACCCTGCTAAGTAGTTTAACCGCTCGATAAAACGCCACTACTCCCTACGTTCTCGCCTCAGGATGAACACGCTAATCTACCAATTGCTGCTTAGCGTCAGCACTGAGGCAATCCGCTGCCGTCCATTCGCTACCGTCATTCCGGCGCGTCCAGACGTGCTCAGTCATGTTCGTGAGATGCGGAAGTGTTCTTGGGTGGTGCAACTTCTCGGATGGCTGATTCCATCCGAGAAGTTTCACCACCCAAGAACACTACTGACTTTTTGACCGGACAACATCACTTCCAACTGCATCAGATGTCGTCCAAGTCGGACCAATTGGAGCGTGTCTACGACTCGCAGGATCGACGCATCAAAGCGGTTTTCCCTGTTACGGATTGTCTCTTTGCACAAAAAGCGAGGACGGAGACAGCTGATATGTCTGGCAGCGGTTGGCAAGATAACCTCGAGGCGTAGCCGTGTGGCAGCCGTATTTTCTACGAAATGGTTTACTGCGTAAATTTGATGTATGCGCTCTGTGTGCGGGATAACCCGGACATCTTCGGTCGCGCTGGGTTCGTCTACCGTGGCCGAAACAAAGCGCGATGCAAGCGCAGGGATCGCCAAGGAGCAAGACACCCTGTGCGCAACGGAGAAGCGCTTCAATTAGACTAGACCCTCTCAGACTTATCCTCAGTAATACACAAAGTGTATTTTTAACAGTAGTTCCCGGCGCGGTCCCCGCCCTCCCACCTTTCGATAGCCACCAACACCTGCCGTTTGTGCTCAGCCCAAGCTGCATATCATCCCCAGCTTACAACCCACCAACGTAGCGTACGGCTCGCCCGCGCGATGCTCAACTCACTACCAAAACGGTATCTACAATTAACTACGTGCGTCGATCGTCTCTCTTCCTTTTCAGCTGGTTAGAGTGGCGCTTGAAAAACATCCTACTGCTGTCGTTCTGTGAGAACGAAGCGGCTAGACGGTAAGCTAAGCTTTGTCCAAACGTATCTTTTCCCTTGTCTTTAATTACTGTTCTGCAATGTTTAGGTACTCTAACCTGGATCCCATTTGCGTCGAGACACTATTGTTCGGGATGAATAGCTTGACGCGCGGAGTCGAGCGCATCATCGGGGCAGAGCTACCGGAACGCTTCGGGCTAATCCTGGATGGATGGTCGCATGCATCAGATCATTACATTGCTGTGTATGTTCGCTTCGTAGTCGGCGGCATCATTATGACCCCCTCATGTGTATGGCCCCACTCCTCAACGACGAGGAAGAGAATCTTTCAGCTCGCGGCCACATGGGGTTTCTCGACACCATGCTACCCCGCGACTATGAAAAGCAGATGGGGCAGTGCTGCTTTCTGGTAGCAGACAACGGTGCAGTGAGCCGCGGGTTGGCGACGCTGATGGGCGTGCCATTGGTCGGCTGCGCCAGCCACCGTCTTAACCGCGCGGTACAAGTTGATATGGTGGGCTTTGGGACTGACCTTAATGCAGTACAAAAGCTGATGATTGGGCTGCGCATTCTGACACAGTCAGCCAAGCCCAGGAAATAACTGTTTGGGCTCGTGATGTTTTGTTCACCATGTCTTGATTAAAATAATTTTAACTTGTTTTTTATTTTGCTAACAGGGCTCAAACGAAGCCTCGACCAGTTATCCGCGAAGACACGCGATAGGGATCGATATTCGCGATTGTCAACCGGTACTTTACTCTTCTTAAGTTTATCGACGCTAAAGGCGGCGGCATAGCCAGTCTGGTGCCGACGCCCGCGTGCAACTGTCGTCTCCGTGCTTTGCCGAAGGGCCTGAAGGAAGTAGAGAGTGTATCGAAAGCGCTGCAAGGAGAAGACGTGTTGCGGTTAGACGCTCGTGCTTGGCTTAATGGATTAATTTCTGATCAAGCCCCACTACGCTCGCTTCATCGGTAAGCCTGTTGCTGCTGATGTTCTTACTATTCTGCTAATTGTTGTTAGCTATTCATTTTGATTAATGTGCTATATTAATCAGTTCCGCGCGCCGAAATTGTCCATAGCCCTGCTTTGGAGGCGGGGTGCGTCCAGTCCTGGGCGGAATACGATCCGTCTCATCCGCGCAGAGAAAGTCGCCCTTTCGCCGTTTACAAGGGCTAGTTTGCATGCAGTGAGCGGAGAGGATGACGAAGAAGAAGTTTCTTTCGTCGAGCAGCCCCAGAAACGGCGTCGTCTTGATGAGAAGGATGTAAAGTACGACTTGCGATTTGGCTAGTTCCAACGTAGTCGGGCGTATTTATTTAGCGTAGCCCGCACCACGTTTGGCCAAGAGCGACATGGCTTTCTTCCTATCACACTGAAAATGATTTTCTTTTTAAGAGAAAATGGTACGTACTGGAACGCATAAACAGTAGATGAGGCAACACGTTTGTAGATGGATTTACTGCTCAATAACAGCTAACCCGTTTATTGTATAATAACGCCGTATTTTTTTGTTTAACATGCACTAGAACGTTATGTATGGTAAGCGCATGATTCAGCATTGCAATGATTTGTCCCTGATCAAAGGGTCCGACAAATAGCAATATCATTTTCGGAGGCCCTGGTGGTAGGCTTGGCTCAAGCTGTGAGTTGCGGCCTCTTCGCCAAAACCATATTTTTTACGAGAGAAGGGTGAAAAACGGTAGCCAGACTCTATTCACAGCGTACTATCAGCGTAGTTGCTTTCTAATTAGTTTAACGCTGCCAGGAAAGCCTCAGAAAAGAGGTTAGAGGTGCGTTTTCGAGCTAACTTCTATATGAAGCGTGCGGGGCGCTCACGCTTCATCTAGTGCGCTGAATTACGATTAGCTGCGTCCGTTAGTGCACCTAGCTTTGGGCAAGACTACGGCATGGGAACAGCTCGAAGCAAACACCTTATAGCCAGTAAAAAAACGCAAAAGTCGGTTTTGTTCTTATTGCTAGTGCCACCCCGCCAGGGCGTTATTTTTCGCCGACGTGTCAATTTTGGTCTGATTTTACCAAAACGATCGGAAATCGACGCGGATTCGCCAATTTTGATCGCATTTGAGAAGTTGTAGTAGCCAAAATCGGAAAAAGGTCAAGTTCTTATAGTTAGTGCCAGCACAGCTATACGGGTTCCTTGTGTAGCGTACTTTAATGAGGTTCAATGATGTGAAGTCTAACCAACATGTGTCAGAAGAGGACTTTGTAAGTTATATAAATCTAAGTATGGATAGTATAACGCCCATGGCAATCCCGAAATTTAGAGATGTGCAGCATAATCAGCGGCCATCTAAATCAATTGAAGTCTCTCGAGTTTTGTTAGCTTTCGGTTGTTTTTGCTAAGATACCGAAATGTTTTTATGAAATCATGAACATGCTGAAGTCTTTGAGACGTCCAACATATCCTTGAATGGCTCCGCAATGTCATCGCTGTTGAATTGCAACGTGTCCGTCCAGTTCACCGTAGACTGCACCATCTCGAACTTATTATTTGCCATGACTACGTCTTCCATAAGCTTTACTTGCTCATACGTAGCACACCCATTGTCACTCCACTTAGCCATTGAATCGAGGTTGCTCATTTCCTCGATCGCTTGAATAGACTGTCGTATTCTATCTGATTGCGGGATCGCTTGGATCGTGGGTAAATATAGGCCATCGGTAAAGGGACGCACGGCGAGGACCCCTTTGATAAAAAAAATTGGTAAGTTAAGTTGTTCCACCTGAGACATAGCAGTCCGTCTGCTGTATGACCCACGTAGGATCTCCATGTCTGATAACTTGACAGAACTTTGCCACCTTGACAGCACTTTGCCTTCTCCGCGACGTCCATTGTAATAGATTTTCCTTCTTTCATTTTCCCTCTAGACTCTCCGTTTTTTAGCGTGTCTACTCAGACCGTTTCGCTTTGGTGACGACCCAAAACGATTGCTTTGGCTGCAGACCCGTCTTTGGTTTCGGAAAGGCATCCTTCGTCTAAATGGATGCGCGTTTTCGCTTTGGTCGAAATAGAGACATATTGTGTAGCCTTCTCGGTAAGCGCATCGTTTCGCTTTCGTCATCAAACCCCTACTCCCGCTCGGCTCAGCAAATGATGACTGCGAAAGCGTGACGTCACTTTCCAATGATATTCCGAACAATTTCGAAAAGGCGGTGGTTTTTTTCACTGCTGCCTTACCCGTAAACCCCTCCAATGTCTCTGTGTGAAGGGCTCGCTGGAAGTATTTCAACCATTTCATTCCCAATCAGAAAGTAGTAGTTGGCTGGATTAAAAGCACATCTAGAATCCGCTCAGTTAGCTGCTTCCCCCTAGCTGTACTTGGCGTCTTTATTGATCAGAGGAGACGATCGAATCGGAGGGCAGATGGCGCTAATGAGACCTCCGGGAGTAACCTCGCCGACGTCAATGTTGCTCGCGGGGCTATGACTGATGCACCTCGATGCCAACGTCCTCAACGGCGGGATAACCGTCTCGTAATGAGCTCTGCGTCGGACGAACATAGTGTTCCATCAAGGCAACACGCAAGTCTGAGCAAAAATGAAGTCACATTTAGAGAGCTACAGAAAAAAGGTTAGATGTAAACTGCCTCAGGTCCAAAACCAAATACCGAATGTACACCGAAACTTACTGCTGGGTTTACATGGTTGTGCCGCCTGTTCCCGGGTTTGTTACTGTGGTTCGCGCCCCATCCGCTTCTATATCGTTAGATAAATCCTGCCCTACAGCCAACTTGTGCTGCCCCGCCACCATTTTCCTTGGACTAGCTCAGACGCTTCGTGGTAAAACCTCTTGTGGCCGTCGACTGCCTGTGAAGTAGCCGTATCTGCCAAAGCGCATGTGACGTCCAGGAGTGATTCTAGGGCTTCTTTCCGGAGAGTGGGCTTGCTGGCGCTGTCGTATTCTTCGTTAATCCGGCCCCGACGCGATTGAGTGGGAATCGACTGTCCGGAGTGAAACGCTGATGTCGAGGAGTCTTACCGCGAGCGAGCTGACGTGTAGGCTTCTACATAATCACTACAGGGTCCGTCAAAGCGTCTGCTGCTTTCCCGATGTAGTTTAAGATTTTTTTGGCGATGGAGTCTAGCACTTCGAGACCAAAGGAACATACATTGACCGCCCAGAAGCGTTCATCGGCAGGAGACTCGCTGGGTGGTGTACTGTCGGAGTCGGCCGACTCAACGTTCCAGACGGCCTTGAGCTTTCGAAGCTCCTTGCCGAGAGATGCCCACGACGGTGTCGTGAGCGAAGGGAAAGCATCGGAGGAGATGTCTGGGGGCCGCAAAAAAATGCCGAATGAGGAGCGCGTAGTCACTTAAACGCATCGCAACCGAAGTCGACTCTGGGTCCTCGGGTATTGGAGCACCCCCCCCCCCCCACGTGGTGAAACTCTGCTAAGTAGCACTCTTCTGCATAGTTCTGCAACGTGATGAGCATGGCGACGAGCTCGTCGATCGTAAAACTTCCATTGACGACCTCCTTCACCCGCCCCTACTTCGACCGCAAGTAGGAGAGAATCCCACTGGGTTTGGCGCCTGCATTTTTCATAGCAGCTACATATTGGCGAAGCTGAGAATCTTCAATGCGGTGATTCTCACTGTAGTTGCTCCGCTGGTGATCACGTAGTGTGTGTGTGGACGTGCGACCCTGAAGATTTGACGACAAGGTGGAAGCCTGCACAACCTGGTCGCAGGCAAACCGGGACATTTATACGCGCTGTACATTCCGTGGAGCGCACTT